GTCGATCGTAATCGGAATATAGCGGTGTTAAATACGAAGTAATAACTTTAAGATGCTACACTGATTCCAATCCTACACATTCCGTTATCGATTAAAACAAAAAGTGAGCGAAAACTTGGTAGAAAACAAGTTTATCATTGAAATAAACGCGTAACAAAAATTCGCATAAAAAATGAAGCTTGACGGTGATCGGAAAAACACTGCGTGATTCAATGAAATGCTGAAGATCTGCTGATTATTGACTGCGATTTTGATATACACAGTTCCTTTCAAGTGTCAGACAATTGAAAAATCAGTACTTTAGTACAATTGGAAAGGTCTGCACTCTCTTCACCGAATTTAGGACTATTAAGTGCCTGGCTGATTCGCAGTCTGAAGAGGTTATACTCAACCGTCGCTTCTCATTGCTATGCTCGTAATTTTTCTCTTCATTTACTTAGTGATCTTGCTGTAGTATATTTATCAGGCAGTAATTATTTGAAAGCTCGTTGATCTTCACATTTGAGTGGAGGTGAAACTTGTTTTTACTACACCATAGTTTGCAGCGAGGTGAAAATCACTGCTGACGAGTACTGTGTCTTAAAAATTATTAAAGGATTTCATAACACAAATTATAGTAAATTCCTTTTCTTTGCTCATTTATGAGCTAATACATTATTGTACACGGTGTTCATATCCCAAAATGTTAGTCGATTGTCTGGTTATATTCGTTTCAGTGTTTTATCAGTTACCACGGAACATAGTACACTAAAGGTCACGATTTTTGCAGTGGAGACGCCGACTATCGTTTATCGCTCAAATTCCTAAGTGAAGCATTGTCCTGATCAGACGCGGTTGCCCTAGATGAATATTCCTCGAGGATCGGTAAGTCTACAATATAATTATATTAAATAGAAAAGAATAATTTTATTAGAGATCTATTTCATACAAGAGGGAACACCAGTATGATCCTCGCCCGGTGCAACCGCCAGGGGAGTCCTCGTCACGAGCTTCGCCACTTAGTGTTCAGACGAATCCAACGATGAGCGCCAACTTCAAAGTGCAGATGTGGCAAAACCGACCATTTGATAGTGGTGTTCATACGATGACCCACAGTCAGGTAGACGTTAATCAGTTAGGATGTTCAATGAGATCATACTCCAACGAAATATACTATTTAGCACAAAATGCTTGCTTTCATTGTTGTTCCATTGCCTTCATTTTATTTCATTGTCGTCTGTTGGCATACTACACGATACAGACTACTAATAATTAATAAATTGCGAAGAATCAAAAACCATTGAATTCTTTCCATTCAACTTAGCTTAGTTTGAGCTTAAGTATTAGCATGGGATAAAATGTTCGTAGGTGAGCAATTCCTTAGGAACATGTGCTACGCATCTGAATTCACAGGTAGCCTCATAGAGAGAGTTGAATTCATATTTCACCCATGCAATAATTCATGGGGCTCTATTGTGTTACGATAGGGTTTTTGTCTTCCAAGACAATTCTGGTACTAGTCTGCAAAACCTGTAGTGCTGGAGTGCTCGATTAGCGTGGGGGAGGGATCGAACCAACTGACCAAGTGCATCACAAGGCACTTCTCACTAATGCGCTACACGCGTTTTAAAATTAATGGTACTGTGACGCAAAGTATAGATTTGATCTGAAAAGTCAGCATTTTTTGCAAATGAAGAGGTTCTCTTGTTTCAATCCACGAAGAACGGACTACTTATGCAGATGCGATTTTAAGTTAGCAATGTAAATGTGTCAATAGAAAAATATTAAAGGCGAAAACATTTGCTACACTAGCGAACTAGACTGAATCAATGGGACTTAGGCACCCTCGATGATGTCGATGACGTCCATTCACGCCGGATCACAGATCTCCACGATGTCATCGGTCGTTGACACTGACGCTTCTGAATTAACTGACCAAGTCGGTAAAGCCGTATTAGATTATATTTTCTTCTTATAGACTAAAACGTGGAATAGAATCACTTTATTCAGCAACAACAAAAATTCGAAAACATCTCGTTGGCACTGTGTCCAACGCATCCGGAATACGCAAACGCTGAGGGAGTAATTCCTGAGCTGATCAATCTTATGAAGGATAGTGACGAGGTGAGTTGTACTGTGCGCGAAAGTTCAAAGTTTTACCAAACATGAAGTCGTGGATCATTCAGGTGGTCGTCTATCGAGCGTTGTTCATCATGCAGAATATTGCGAAACTTGATGCCGACATTTCACGGACGCCAAGTGCTCGGATTCGCGGTGGAGATGCTGTGACGGCTATCGTAAATGTGCTACAAGTACGAAGGAATACACCAGTACGTTCCAGAATTTCCACATAGAAATATGAAGGTCATTAGCAATAGCTGAAACCAATGTTTAGAATATCATTTATGTTACAGTAGCAATGATTACATCCTGTGGTATTCCCGGCATAAATTAACGTTTAGAATATCATTCGTATGGCGTTAGGGACGTTGTTTCAAATTTGTATACGGACCGATGGCCTCGATGACGTGGCCAGAGTGAACGCGCAGTGCAACGGTGAACTGATTCGAGTGCTTGTCGAACACGCAAGGTGAGATTCTACGTAGAATGCAGGGTGCGATACTGGTGATTTCAACTTCTGTAATGGGTTCAAGGCATTTATTCCCCTTCCTGCAAGTGCTCATCTGTATAAAATTTCGGGCACAGTTTCACTTACGAAGATGTCAACGCTAAAAGCAACCTTCAATTTTAATTGTGGAGTTGGGCCCAATTTCAGGACGGTGCCGTTCTCATGTTACAAATATGCACTACTAACACTACATAGCCTGATATCTGACAAGGTGCATGGTCTTCAATGCGCACAACAAGCGCGACAAATGGACACGATGCAAGTAAGTGTGAAAAAGCAACTCATTTCCATTTTCTACTATACGGATTTGCAGCGCACAAATTGAATAAGAAGTTGCAGTGATACCGAAATCATTCAGGTTGTGTCAGAATGGTTACAACATGAGAAAAGCGAAAAACTTCTGCCGGTGATTGTGGATCTAGTACGGATTCTATGCGATAAAAATCATGAGCAAAAGGTTTGCGACTTTTGTTTGTTTCTTTAAAAAGGCCAAACCTAGTTCTTCGGTTCAAAAATAATGGAGTTCCTCTATAGGCTTATTTTCTTGGAACAAACGGTATACCGAAGTTGCTAAATATTCTCAAGAAATGCCTGTATGAAAATTGCCTGTGGAGAACCACACGACTACTAACTGTCTTCTCAAATTTTGTAAGTTCGTTCCCCATTTGATATCAACTAAATCGGAAAATCTAATCTAACGCTCATTTCATGTAGACATGAATTATTCATGCTACACATGTGGAATATGTTCTATTATTTGGCTTTAATATTTTGGCTTCTCTTTTCATTTTTGGGGTGCACACAGTTTTTTATCTTTAAGTACCTATCTCTCTTGAAAAATCTCAAAGTTAAGCGGGTCACGAGGTGGTCTGAGAGGAACGAACACTACCACCACCATACGGCTAACTGTAGGACTTTTTTATTTATATATATTTTTATGTATTTTATATAATTAAACTTTCCGTATTATGCTAATTTCTGGATTTTTTTTATTTTCTTCGTTGTTTTATGTTCACCTTCCACCAAAGCTTTTCTAATTTTTATATGCGTGTTGCTGACCATTCCGACAAAGCAGTAAGCTCTAACGGGCTCCAGTAACTCAATTCGTTTCTGTCGGAAACCATTGTTGCCTGGTAGGCTCCCTCCACTTGAAATTTGCTCAAAGTACGATATTTTACAACCAGCGCCTTTATGAAAAAATCTGACCATGGGGTTGTTGGTCTTCTTGTTATGTGCTTGACAACCGATGAAGCTCAATCAGTTCTTTTCAGTGATTTTCAGTAAGAATGGCTTCCATTTGTAGTCGCTTTTTTCTTCACAACTCGATGAACCCAGCAATGTTTAATTACGATTTTTTGTCGTCCCTTTAGGTCACAACATCAAAAAAAGTGGGTCCGGCTTCGGGTTTTCATCTTTTTCTTCATTTGATAGGTGAGATTATTGCACTCAAATTTTTAGTGCGGGTTTTTTCCTGCTTAGGTGTTGGGCTCATTCGCTTTCGTCCATAACTTTTTGTTAGGCATTAATTACGAACATTATCATCGCATGTTTTCCTTAGGTTAAACTTGAATGGCAAATTAGGAACGAATCTGCTTTTAATAAACAAGATTTGCAATAGGATGCATGAGAACTGACCTTCTCGAACGCATTGTCGAAAATGGCTAACATTTTTTTGGCATTGGTATTACAACAGTTCTAACGTTGATCATCGAATGGCTCGATCAGACTTCAATACACCCTCCAATTTCTTAGCATTGTACAGCAGTAGCAAATTGGCCTTTGTCTCCTCTCAAGTTCGGAAGCCATTACATTTTCATTCTACGATTCCCTTAAAGAAGTTTGATTAGCGGATGGGATTTATGTGATGTGTACCGGATTCCCTTTGGAATCCAGTCGTCATAAGCTCTTATCCACCTGTTGTCCCTATAAGGCACCACTAGTCCGGCTTACTAATTTTCAGCATTCTGCCACACACGACAGCGTACTATTTTGATCGTCGAATTGGTTGAAGCTCTGGATTGAGTAGCCTTTCGTCGTGCTCATCTAACGTCTAAGCTTTCCAGGTATACCATAAGGAGGGAAGAATCGAGCCAAATATGTGGACATGACTATGGTTGTTCTTTGTCCTCTTCGCAACATTCTCCGTGCTCTTCTATGCTTATCAAGCTGATTGTTTTTTCCTGGCCGGTTCTGGCATTAAGTCGTACATCACATGACTTTCCGATCCGGGTCCACATATTTGTAACATTTGCAGATATTCTTTCAATTGCGTGCTAATAGAGCATAGGAAATTACTCTGTCTATCTTATACTTCTTTAGTGCTTAATGATCTAAGATTTTGCTATCAGTAAAGTAATGATAGTGCAGCCATCAGCCATCAGTTTTCAATCATATGTTGTCCCACTACAATTCTCACATGTAAAGTTCTTGAGGATGGCCGTAAAAATTTTGACGTGACGGTGTCGTATAAGAGAATTCTTGTCTACTTCAATGGTAATGTTGTTATCGAAAAGTAAAATTTTGGTTTCGAAGTAGTTATTTATGTAGCCAAAAATTCTTATGCACCCAATAGGGATATTGTGGCTCACCTTGCAGCACCGCTGCCGTCTCAACTAAGTCCTTCCTTAAGTCATTAATAATAAGAAGACGTGGATGGTTTAGTCCATATTATTGGACGTCTTACCGTGTGAAGAACAACGAATGTGGTAACGCATCTGATAAGGTCCAGATGTTTAACCGTGTATCCTTGATTTATTGATTGGCCAAGAGAATCGTGCTTCCTTCCAGAATCCACAGGTGCTGGTACAGTGTAACGCACCAGCCGTCCTCGCTCCACAACTTGCTCACGACTCCGAACGTTTAGTGCAGGTGTCGTTGGAGTGCTTACGGAATATCAGCGATGTGCCAACGGATGCGAACCGATTCGACCTGTTACGTTCGCTGTTGCGTCTGTTTGGTCATCGAAATCAAAAAGTCATGCGTTACACCCTCGACATTCTAGCTAATCTCTGCGCAAACAACAAGATAAACAAGGTGAGTAGGTTCACAGAATTGAGCGACTATCGGTTTCGTTTGCTGCGAGAAATGGCTAACTGTAACTAGTATAGCACAATTTATTGAGATATTTCTATTGCGAAAAAGATTTTTTATCTACATAGCTTTCAATTATTAAGCATAAAGAATGAATAACAAAGCGTTCAGCGTTAATCATTCCCCCAACAATGTGTCATTTATTCAATTCCGTGAAACATCACAGAGGTGATTGAATATATATCTGGCCTTTACAATGTCTCACGTTCCCTAATAACGTCTTAAGAGAATGTTTTTGCATTCTCAGAAAAGTCCTGTATGAATTTGATAAAAGAGGAGAGATGAAAATCTTGGTTGACGTGGATAGAAAAAAGGCTGTGTGTATCGCAGGTCACCTCGGACCACTACGCTACGTACTTTTTCCAATATGCATAGAAACGCTTAAACTATGTTCTACGTTTTACAAACTCATGGCTTAATAAAGGATGAGAAGATAACGCTCTCTGCATTGATCAATCCCTGAGGATGTGCCATGCATTCGCCTTTATTAACGATCGTTACAGGTGATTGAATACATATCTGGCGTATTTAATGAGTTGCAGTGGCCTAGTGATGTATCAAATCAGCACTGTTATCCTCTTGCATCAAGTCGGATCCAGTGGAGTGTAGTACCTCTCGGATATATATCTATCTAAAAAACCATGTAATGACTTCGTTGCAATGATAAGCCTACATGAAATCTTGCACTCACTCGATAAACTCATTGTTGCAAGAAAAAACTCTACGTAGCAATTACTACAGTGTTCCACTCGATTCGATGCGACTCGACGCGACTGCGAAGTCTCGCATATCGCAAACTATGACTATTGCGGCACTAATAATTACGGCTTCGAAGAAGATGTTGTTGCCGAGACATTAATCACAATAGAAAACTTTTCATAAAAGTCTCGAGTTAGCTTATCAATGCAGTAAATTGATATTCATGCTGAGGTTTAGTGCAGCTCAGTTCTCGAAAATATTTATGGTGAAAACTCTATTCATTGCGGAAGGAAAGACATTTGACGCTTATCGGTCAGTTTGTACGAAAGCAATGAAATGGCTTCTTTCTAAGTTAGAATGGCAACACACAGTCTTCATGACTAAAATATTCTTCGCATCGAGTGGAAAAGAGAATCATTTTCTTCTACAGGAATTCCTTATATCGAATGGAATCGTTGGTTATCTTTTACGAGTGTTGAACGAAGAGAGGACAATGAGTAAACAAAACCAAACGATGCTGGTAGAAGAGATTCATGTCAGACCTTTTTGATTTTTGATTTTTCTGGAAATGAACAACTATGAGAAAAGACTTATGGAAGTCGGTTTTAGGAATGTATTTTGTCAATTTTATGTACATTATGTGTTGGAAACACTATGGTAGAAGATGTTCGTGTGGAAGTGTTTCGTTATCCGCAGCTATTTCTTGAAAAACTTATACACATGAGACCAGTGTTGTTAAAACAGACGTTACAGGTATGCTTCTACTCTGATATGGCGATAAATATTTTAAGTTTGATACTTTACTGTTAAGAACGTGTTGGTAAGTGAAATATTCATTGGGAATCCGTTCTATTATCATACTACTATTGTTCACTTATTTATATGACTCAAGTTTAAATATTATATGGTTACCACAACCACCTTCATCTCGTTCCTTATCCCACAACCGCCACCTGCGAAACTGCGTGGAAATCCGAGATAGCATTGTTATAGCGCTCCCAGGTCTTCACCAGATACCGTCATCGGTATTTGTGAATCAGGTAGCGCTTTTGAGAGAAAGACTAGTCTCTCAGCCATTTCTATCGATCTTTTTGCCACAGCAA